CATAAATAAAATATAAACAGAAGTATATTCTAGACCAAGGATTAGCTGAGGCTAATCTTGCACAGACATCAATAAAATACCTCCAGTCCTTACAGAAACAATAGAAGACAGACACAGAGTAATCCCTCACAGACAACCAGACACCTTGGGAGAGAGATGCAATAGATCTACTGTCTCAGGACCATAGTACTGAGGACACCAGACTCAATTGGCACAACAAAACACATAAAAGCCTTGCTCCACATCCTACATTGGTGAGTAGCGACTGGGGTCTAAAAAGCTTTCAAGCGGCCATCTAAGATGCAGCTAACTGTCTCCTAATGTCGGAATCCATAGGACATGATGGCCCTCGAAACCAGAAGAACTAGATGGTGCCCGGCTACTAATGCCAACCACTCAGGAAAGGATCAAATCTGGAGATCCTGGATAGAGTGGGAGGGAAAACATGGAACAAAATCCAAAAACTCAATAATGACCAGAATTACTGGTCAGATGAAAGCTGGTGAGACCCCCATTACTATGGCCTTGGAATAATTGTGCACCTGGAATAAAATGCACCCCCAGGGGCTGGCTCTCAGCCAGTTAACAAGATGTACACGCAGACCACTGAACACAGGATGACACACCCACATACTCTATGGTAATACATCCCTTACAGCAATAGCCCACAGGACAGGAGAGGACTAACATTCAAATTGAGGAATTCAAGCAGGAGTGCATAAATATGAGGGGCACAGGAGGAGGGTTACAAGGTAGGGAGGGGAGGAGACTGGGTTAGGGTTGGACATGGTGAATAGGGAGTGAAACTAAATGCGCACGTAACGTTGAATGTAAAACAAGCTCTTAAAATTAAAAAATTAAAAAAAAGATATATAACAGAGGGTTGATTTGGTCTAAGACAGGAAAGGATGTGGCAAAGCCCTATTTGAACCCCTCCACTTGACCCCCCACATACACTTGACCCCCTCCACATACACATTTAGAGATCACTAAACCTGCTACTCTACACACTAAGTAGGAATCGACTTAGTGACAACTAAGAACAGCAACAAACCTGCTTACTTAGACCTCTGACTGTGAGCCTCTGAGCCATAGCAGTTGCCACCCCTCCTGAAGCTTCCAGGCAAAGGATAGGCCACCTGAGAACCTTCACTTCCATTGCTCCTCCTTCCCTAGAGCCCTGGTGGATCTGGAGAGGCCCCAGGCTAGCACTGCCCTGCTGTGTGGCCTTTGCAATGGCTTCCCCCTCTCTGGGCTTTCTTCCTTGGGTATGAAGGTGGGCCCTCCTATAGCTGCCAGCCACAGACTCCCGGCCTCTGAGATCCTGAGCCCTCCGACCCCGGAGCCTGCCTCTCACCCTGGTCTGGCAGCCGTCCTCACGCCCTGTATGGACGGCGCATGGGCAGCTCCAGCGTTGCGGAGCAGTAGCGCGTGCAGCAGCGCTTGACCAAGCGCAGGGTGGAGGCTCTGCACATCACCCGGGGCCCTGGGAGGCGGATGCGGGTGGGCAGCCCCTCAAACCAGATCCACTGGTCAGCTGCATTCCGCTTCTTCATGTCTCCCATGGCACTTCTGAGGTGGTAGGTCTTCAGGAAGACCACTCGGGGACCTCTCCTGGATACTTGGCTCCCCAGAGCCTTAGGGCAAGTGGTCAGGCCAGGACCCCTTGATGTCCTTGGGACCTCTGGCTTCACCTGCTCTTCTTTCTGGGGCACTGCTTCAGGTGACCTCTTTGCCTCGCCCCTCACCCCTGACCCCACGTTGGGCTTTGGTTTCTTGGGCTTCATCTCCTTAGGCTCCTCTATGGAGTCTGATTTCTTGGACTCTCGCTTCTGCTTGGGACACCTAGCCTCCTGGAGCTCTTCATCATTTTTTTTCACTTTATTGCAGACGTTGTTGTCCCTGGAGGGAGAAGGGAGATAGTCAGTAGAGGTGGACTAAAGCCCGGGTCTCCTAGCCCAGTCCTGAGATGGATGCCATGTAGCCAGCTCTGGGGAGCCTGTTAAGAAAGCTAGAAAGGGCCAAAGAGAACCTTCTATACCAGACCTTGTACTTGGTGTTAGGGGATGTGACAAGTATTGGCAGAAGGGCTGGGAGGCTGGGAAGGGGAAAGACGGCACTTAGTAATTAGGACACCTAGGAATGTATGTCATCCGTAGCTGCCAGTAGGTCAGGGGTCTGCCTCTCTGGACTCCGATGAGAGGGAGAATGAGTCCAGTGTTTTGTTTTTCTTCACCCCCCAAATTGTATTCCAAGAAACCTCAGAATTCTGAGGAGAGGCCTCAAATATCCCCCCTGGGGGCAAGGGACAGAATGAGAACAGCATCCCTTCTCCCCTAAAACCCCTGAGGAGCTGAAGAAGGTGAGCCTCAGTGAGAGGAGCTGACAGTCCGACCTCAGGGCCAGGTCTGCAGTGAGCTTCGGTTGCTCTGACTTGAAGGGGAGAGGCAGGCGGAGCAGCCTTCCTGCTCAGTGTCCCAGCTTTGGATGCTCCATAATTGGATGATTATGACCATGACTCTGCTATCAGACAGCAATGACTTCAAATCCTACCTCCGCCACTTACCAGTTGCATTAGCTGGGACAAGTCGCTTCATTCCCTGAGCCCAAGCTTTACCTTTGGTAAAATGTTGTTGTTATGTGCTGTCGAGTCGGACCTGACTCATAGTGACCCCTCCTTGGGTTTCCGAGGTGGTATCACTAGGGAAGTAGATTGCCCAACCTTCCTTCCAAGGAGTGCCTTAGGCACTATGCTACCAGAGCTCCTCATTGGTAAACTAAGGCTATTTAAAACCTTTCTCAGCAGAGTCTGTGAAAATTAGACCTGTTTTCTGATTCCTTAGCACAATACCTGTCCCCAGTGAAGATGTCATTTCACCATTGAGTTTATAGTGGGCCCATGGATGGGCCAAGCTTACCCAGAGGAGATGTGGGGGATCTTGGGAACTCTAAACAGTGAATTCCAACACCTTTTGGCCAGGTTGTGCAGTTCTTGGATCCGGGGGTTCGAGCTCTTGAGTAGCTTCAAGAGGGATAAGTTTTTTAACACCTGTCAGGCCCGGGCAACCAGAAAAACAGAGGCTTCAGTTCTCTTGGGATAACCTTCCACTCCCCACCCTGCCTGTGGCTCAGCTCAGCTCTGGACTGGGCCTATGACTCTTTCTGGGCCACTCAGCCTGGCAACCAGTAGCAGCACTGTGTGGGTGCTCAGGGCCTAAGCTGGGGCCAAAGTGGGACATCTCACCATTTTCAGTCGATTCTGCTCAATTACTTTGCTGACAGAATGCTCTCTAATGCCATGTGGTTCTTCATCTTGCATCTGATGGGCAGAGAAAGAGCTAAGGCAGGAGGAAGCCCCTTGAGTGCCTCCACCATGCCTGGCCATTTGGCTGAGCATGGTTTGACCAACCCTAGACCAGGGAGTTCTTGTCACCTTGGGTTGGGAGCAGAAATGGGGAGACCATTCTAACTGCTGACCTCCCTTCACCCCTCATTTCTCCCTTTCCCCCAGGCTCAAAGACCCCTGCCCTGGGTGTGGTTGGACTCTTCATTAAGGCCTCTACGAGGAGGCTCACCCCCAGGGTCCAGTACAAAGTCTAACCTTGCAAGCCACTCTATTCTTGGGCCTCTTCTTTGCTGATGGACTCATGCTGGGGCTGTGAGGCCTCGAAGACAGAAGGAACAAGGGTGTACCAGGCACAGCCTGTGCCCTGCCCCTCTCAGTTCAGCCAGCACTCAGGCTGGGCTTCAGGATGGTTGTGCTGGAGCTCCTAGAGGGGGGAGCTGTGACATCACTGAAATGTGTGACAGCAGCAGGGCTGGGTCTCCACGGAGTATGTGTGTGGCAGGGGTGGAGGGTAAGGAGGAAGCTCCCGTCTGTGGAGAAATCTAGTAGGTGCCAGGCAGCAGCATACGTTGTCAGAACTTCTCTGATATAAGAGGATTGTCCCTTCTTTTTTTAATGAGGCAGCTAAGGCTCAAAGAGGTTAGATAATTTACTCAAGGCCACACAGCTGGATAATATTAGAACTGGAAACCTAACCCAGGTCTGACAGGTTGCCTGTGAAACCAGGGCTTCCCAAACTATGCTCACCTAGTCAGTCAGGCTGCATTTGTGGACTGGGTGCCTGGCACTTGTCAGGTGCTGGTGTAAGTCCTGGAGTTAAAAGAAGTTCTTATCCTTAAGGAAATTGGAGTCTTGTAGAGGAGGAAACAAACTGTGCTTGTAAATGTTTATTAATTGGCCTTCTGGAGAAATGTATGTATGTGTGTATATATGTTTTATTATACATTTTACTAGTATAAATTTACAAACATTAGTATACAGTACTCTGTATTATAAATTCCGTATAGTCAGATTTACTTGAGTTTTGCCTAATTCTTGTCTCTATAGCCAGTCTACGGGTGTAACTGATGAACAAGTGTGGTTCTAACATGAATGTTGATATTTTCATTTACATTCACAAGTAAGATGAAAGTAAGACAACAAAAGATTTCAAGTTTACTTATTTGTCAATTACGTTATCGATTTAATGTACTTAATTGGATCATAGTTTTTAAATACTGGGAGTGTATTTTCTCAGTTTTTTGTGCTATCCACAATATAACCACTAGAGACACAACACATGGTCTTAATCTGTATTATTAACATTGTCTCCATTTCTTTCTTAATTGTAGACCAAGGGATGGGTAATTTTTTCTGTAAAGGGCCAGATAGTAAATAAGTTAGCTTTGCAGGCCGTAAGGTCTTGGTGGCAACAACTCAACTCTGTCATTGTACTGTGAAAGTAGCCATGGACAAATATAAATGAATGGACATGGCTGTGTTCCAATAAAACTTTATTTATAAAGACAAGTGGTATGCTGGATTTGGCCTGCTTGATGTGCGGTAAGTGGTTTTGGCCTAGTTTGCTGATACTTGGTCTAGACAATCAACAAAACAATAAATCAAAACTTGCTTTGTCATGCTTGTCTCTTTCACCACAGTCAGTTTCAAGCTACCAGTGTGATGTCACTGAACACGGAGCTGAAAGAGATGCACAGTTGCCCTCTGTTACGTATTTCTACCGTACAGTTACACATATAAATCATCTCAAGAGGATAGATAATAGTACAATGTAGTGAAAAAGAAAATAGGAAGTGATGACCTTGAGCATTTTTTAACTCTTAAAAATATTTTATTTTTGGTGAAAATATGCACACCAAAACCCTCTCCTATTCCACAGTTTCTAGACATAATAGTCAGTGGCGTTAGTTACATTTGTCACATTGTGTCAGAATTTCTTTATTTCTGTTCTAATTGTTTGCCTCCCATTAACTTTACTTCCCTGCCCTCAAACCTAGTCATCTGTCCTTTAAAATAACTGTTGACCGTCTGGTCTAATACAGATAATTTTTAAAAAAGAACAGAATACTCACGGGTGAAAATCTTTACTTTTTGAATGAAACTGTTAGTAGTTTAAAGGTGACTTCAGGGGATAGTTTCAAGGTTTCAACAGTAACTCAAAGCCAGGGTCTTGAGGACTCCTCCAGCTTCAATAAGTCCAGTAAGTCTGGATTCTTTGAGAATTTGAAGTTCTTCACATTTTTCTCCCTTTCTGTCATTATCTTTGTTTTCAAGATCATTTATTTAATTGTAACTTTAGGTGAACATATATATATATAATTATTTTTTTAAATTGTGATTTGGGTGAAAGTTTCCAGAGCAAATTCACTTTCCATACAGCAGTTCACATACACTTTGTCTCATGACATTGACCATAATTTACCGCAATGCAACAGCTCCCCTCCCACTTCCTCCCTATAGTTACCTCTTCCCAGTGTCCATCCCTCCATGTACTCCTCCCTGAGCTGTCTCCTTGTGCATAAACAGCCCTTCTTTCTCCCATGATTGTTCTCTCCAAGGAGTGTATCTACTTGAGGTAAATGTTCAACTCATATGCCTGTCTTTTTTTTGGCTGGAAGCCACAGGTGTGGGTTCAGTTCTAGACCTGAAGGGCAGCTAGGGGCCATAGTCTCAGTGGTTCCACGAGGCTCTATCAGACCAGCAAACCTGGTCCCTTTTTTTTCCCAAATGATTTTGAGTTTTGTTCCACATAATTCTCCCTCTCTATCCAGGATCTCCTACATAGATCCCCCTCCGAGTGGTTGATAGTGGTAGTGGGGCACCATCTAGTTCTTCTGGTCTCATAGTCGTATAGGTTGCAGGTTGCATGGTGTACCAGTCAGTTGTGAGAATTTCTGTTTTCTTTATGTTGAAGTGTAATCCATCCTGAAGACTGTAGTCTTTAACTTTCATCAGTAAGTGCTTCAAGTCTTCTTCACTTTCAGCAAGCAGGGTTGTGTCATTTGTATGCCTGCATATGCTACATTCTTCAGATAGTCCAGCTTCTTGGTTTTTTGGTGCCACCATATAGATTGGATAAGTATGGTGAAACGATACAACCCTGACGCACACCTTTCCCGATTTTAAACCATACAGTATCCCCTTGTTCTGTTCAAACAACTGCCTCTTGGTCTATTTACAGGTTCTTCATGAGCACAATTAAATGTCCTGGAATTTACATTCTTTTCAATGTTAGCCGTAATTTATTACGATCCACACAGTCGAATGCCTTTGTATAGTCAATAAAACACAGGTAAACATCTTTTTGGTATTCTTTTCTTTCAGCTAAGATTCTTCTGACATCATCTGATATCCCTCGTTCCATGCCCTCCTCTGAATCCAGTTTGAATTTCTGGCAGTTCCCAGTTGATGTACAGCTGCAACTGTTTTTGGATTATCTTCAACAAAATTTTACTTGTGTATGATATTAATGATATTGTTCAATAATTTCCACTTTCTGTGGAATCACCTTTCTTTGGAATAGGCACAAATATGTATCTCTTCCAGTCAGTTGACCAGGTAGCTGTCTTCCTAATTTCTTGGCATAAAGGAGTGAGTGCGTCCAGCAAGCATCCATTTGTTGAAACATCTCAGTGAATATTCCATCAGTTTCTGGAGCCTTGTTTTTCACTAGTTCCTTCAGTGCAATTTGGACTTCTTTCTTCAATACCATTGGTTCTTGATCCTATGCTGAAATGATTGAACATCAACCTATTCTTCTTGGTAGTGACTGGGTACTCTCCATCTTCTTTTGATGCTTCCTGCATTGTTCAGTATTTTGCCCATAGAATCCTTCAATATTGCAACTCAAGCCTTGAATTTTTTTCTTCAATTCTTTCAGCTTGAGAAATGCTGAGCATGATCTTTGCCTTTGATTTTACAACTCCAGATCTTTATATGTTTCGTTACAATATTTTGTCCTTTCGAGCTGCCTTTGAAATCTTGTGTTCAGCCTTTCACTTCATCATTTCTTCCATTTACTTTAGCTACTCTCTGTTCAAGAGCAAGTTTCAGAGTCTCTTCTGACATCCATTTGGTCTTCTCTTCCTTCCCTATCTTTTTTTAAAAAAATATATATTTTATTGAAATATAATTTATGTATAGTGACCTCTCCTATCTTTTTAATGACCTTTGGCTTTCTTCATATGTGATGCCCTCTCACAACTCATTCATTCTCTGGTGACTAGTGTTCAGTGCATCAAATTTATTTTTCAGATGGCCTCTAAATTCAGGTGGGATATACTCAGAATCATATTTTGGCTCTTCGGGGCTTGTTTTAGTATTCTACAGCTTCAACTTGAACTTGCTTGTGAGAAATGGACATTCTGTTCCACAGTGAGCCCCTGGCCTTGTTGTGACTCATGATATTGAACTTCTCCATTGTCTCTTTCCATAGATGTAGTTGATATGATTCCTGTGTATTCTGTGTGGCAAGGTCCACATGTATAGTCACTGTTTATGTTGTTTAAAAAGGGTATTTGTAATGATTAAGTCATTGGTCATGTGGAATTCTATCATGTGATCTCCTGTGTTGTTTCTATTACCAAGGCCATATTTTCCAACCACTGATGTTTCTTCTTTGTTCCCAACTTTTGCATTCCAATCATCAGTAATTATCAATACATCTTGATTGCATGTTTGGTCAATTTCATACTACAGAAGTTGGTAAAATTCTTCAGTTTCCTCATCTTTGGCTTTAGTGATTGGTGCTAAATTTGAATAATATTGGTATTAACTGGTCTTCTTTTAGGCATATGGATATTATCCTATCACTGACAGCATTGTACTTTAGGAAGCTCTTGAAATGTTCTTTTAGACGATGAATGTGATGCCATTTCTCTTCAATTGGTCATTCCCAGTGTAGTAGACCAAGTGATTGTCTGATTCGAAATGGCCAATACCAGCCCATTGCAGTTCACTAATGCCTAGAATATTGATCTTTATGTGTTCTATTTCTTCTTTTCCAACTTTAGTTTTCCTAGATTTATACTTAGTACATTCCATTTTTTGATTATTAATGGATGTTTGCAGCTGTTACTTCTCATTTTGAGTTCTGCCACATCAGTAAATGAATGTCCCCAAAGCTTTACTCCATCCATGTTATTAAGGTCAACTCTACTTTGTTGGGGCAGCTCTTCCCCAGTTCTATTACAAGTGCCTTCCAACCAGTGGGGCTCATCTTCCTACACGATATCAGACAGTGTTTCTCTGCTATTCCTAAGGTTTTAGTGGCCAGTTTTTTTCAGAAATGGACCTAGCCATGT